AACAGCCAAAGCTGTAAAGCAGCAAAGGTAGCTGAGGACACCCTGGATCCTCTATTTGTGTACAAACAGTTTTCTGAAAGGCTGTACCCTGTAACAGGGTGGCAATTAAAATCTGGCTACCTAAAAAAGCCAAAATAAACCAAGTAACAATAGACACACACAAATTATCAGTGGGGAAGTAGAACTGCCCCAATCCCACTTCTCAAAGGAAGCTGGTTTTGACACCTCAGTGTTACTCTGTTTCTTTAATCTTGTGAAGTCATTATGTAAATYCAATTATTTTGGTAGCTACATCTCCACAAGCATTTGCACATGAGGGCCTCCTCTGCAACTCCTAATGCATGTAAATGAAACCACATTCCTGAATTTATTTCCACCAAAGGCTGAGAYAAAAAGATTTACCCATGTAAATTTGATAGACTAACACAGTTTGGTCAATGTTGCTTATGAAGTACCTGATACTTCCAGTATTATCCAGACACATGAAACCTTCACCTTGAAGGTTCTCCAAATTGTGATTATTTCAAAGATTACCTTCTGTTAATTCTGGACTGCAAGTACATGCCTTAGCAACCCTGCTTGCTTACAAGTTACTATTAAAATTAATGACAAAAAGAAAAAAGTTAAATTTCTAACACAAGATGATCTTTGCCCCCAGATCTGATTAAGTTATCAAAACAAAACACACTGAAACTTTCACAGGTGAGTGACTGTAAGGACTACCACAGAACAAATTGCTTCATGCACTCAGGCATTAGTACTGAATTTCTGGCCTTCGTGATGCAAAGTCCTCATACTTTGAGGCAAATGATTTGAGATGTAGTGCGTAACACCATGTTTATCCGGCCTAAGGGTATTGGTTTGAGGAAAACACACATTCACTAAAATAACAGCAAAAAAAATCAACAACAGAAAAATCCCCACCAAAGCAAACAAGCAAGCTTTTCTATGCACTGTGTAAATTATGCTTATTTTAAGTTTTTCTGTCCTGGACTGGTTCCACAGAAACTGAAAACTATGAAAAGAGGCGAACTTTGTACCTTAGTGATCTGCTGTTCCCAAGTGTGGCAAGACAGAAAGTCTACCTCAAACCAAAGGAGCCCTGTGGCATTTGAATAAATACAACACTACCTTCTACAGCCCAGAAACCTGAATCTGTTTTCAGGTAAGTTACTGATGGCAGCTTTTAAAGAACCAARGGCACAACTTCCATGTGTTTTATTTAGATCCGTAAAGAAGCACTTAAACTACTCGGAGAATGACTGAAACACAGCAGCAGCTTTCCAGCTAAACAGCCAAAACACCAGCCTACACCTCCACACAACTTCTAAATAACAACATTCTTTCCTTTGCACCCTCCTCATATGTATAGCATTCTAACAGCTTGAAATTTTACTGGATTTTGGGTTTAAATTGTTTGCAAAATAGTCCATATAACAGACAGATGTAAACTTTAAAGRGAAAGGAGTAGTGGAACAGGACATATGCTCTCTTCACTACCTCACAAAAATGAAAGAAAGATTTTTCTTTTTTTAAGACTGCTTTCCTACACTAGAATTTGGAGTTCTGCCAAAAGTCCATAGACAATTGGAGAACCAGTGAATTCATGACATCAGATATTCCAAGGAAGTGAAACCTGGCTYAACGGAAGTGATTTTTACTCAAGAAAAATAGATACTTAAATACACAAACAGCATACTTTAAGATCATGTTTGAAGACGATATCTTTAGTTTAAAAAAAAAATTGAAAAACCAAAACCTCCAAAACATTTAATCAATGTTAAACCCCACCCCAAGCATGTTTCCAAGGCAATCCACATCAAAACATTATTGACGTTACCCATATCCCTGACATTATTCTAAAAAAGGCCAGTAAACCAGTTATCAAAGAACTTTTGTTCAGTAACCCTTTCCTGAATCCCTACTCTCCTGAAAAGCACTGCATGCTGGCATGAAACTCACAAAGCCTGGAAAACCACCATCAGTCTGAACYGAAGCTTCTAGATCAAAGTTTCCAAGTGACCTGGTGATTGATTCCCCAGCCACCTTAATGCATTCCGCTAGACTTCACAACCCTTTGCCAAGCATATGGATATTCAATATTCCTTTATATGCAATCTTCCTAAAAGCAAGCACGTTATAAGTTTTATTCCACCTTTTCATTAATCTTTGAAGGCATACTGCTGTGGGAGTCTCTAGCTCATACTGCAAAACRCAGGTCAATCAAATTTCTCCAACATCCTTCATGCATTGATCTACTTCAAACCCTGAACTATGGTCCTGAAAACATAAATAATATGTTGCTGGGGTTTCTAGTAAAACGCAGCTTCAGGAACTTCCTAAGCCTGAATGAAGTTCAGTGTCAACAGAATAATGGCAGAACGGACTTAGTACATAATATTTACAGTTATGGCTACAGTTGTCAATTCCAAATGAACAAAACTGGTCAGTGTATCTAGTGACAAAAAAAAGACTGTAAGTGCATAAAGTTCTGGAGAAAAAACAAAACAAACAAAAAACAAAGCAAACAAAAAACAAAACAAACAAAAAACCCCCTACACTCCAATTAAAAACTAAGGTTTCCGGATTTTGGAAAGTGTCCAGTATGAGTCTAAACACACACATGCTGGAGCTAGACAAACCAGCGAATCTGGCATGAAAGGTTTCCGTTTCTCTTTCAGGAACTCTTTGGGACTAATGAAGATTTATTTCCCCCTTACACAGAAGCAGCTCCCGGTCTGTGGAAGTTTAGTTTTCTGTTAAGAGAGCGCACGATGACAGCAGTGCCAAAGCCATCGCTGTGTGCGCCGCCCGCGCCGGGTTGTACAGCGTGTGAGCAGCTGACTGGAAACACATTTCCGAAATACTGCTTTGCCATACAAATTCCTGCGGTTCGGAAGGAAAACAACGCTCAGAAACCCAGCTGAAAACAACCAGGAGTATCGAGTAATARAAAGGCCACTTGAAATTCACCGCCACTTGAAATTCAGAGCAATCACCGAGAGTTCTCAGCTGGGAAAAAAAAATAAATAAAAAAATCACCAGGCACAGCGCAAAGCTTGTCCGGAGAACGCTCCGGGAGAGCAGGCGCCGCGCACTCAGGGACCGTCCAGCCTCTCCCGAGCGCCGCCGAGCCGCCGGGCAGGGGCAGAGGCAGAGACCGGGGCCGTGCCGCTCGCCCCGCGCTGCCCAGCGGCGGGAGGGCTCGTCGGGGCTGCACCGGGGGCGCCAGGCGGCCGGCGGCGCCGCGGCCCCCGCACCGGGCACTTGTTGCGGAGCCGTTCCCGCCGCGGTCGCGCACAAAGGCGCCCGCCCGACCCACCGAGCCCAGCCCAGCCCAGCCCTGCCGGCCGCCGCCCGCCCCGGGCCCCTTTCCGCCGCCAAACGGCCGCGTCCCGCCGAAACCTTCCCCCGCGCGGGGAGGGGGCAGCGCCGCCCGCGCGGTTGAGCAACTGCCGTGTCGCAACCGGAGCAGTGCCCTCTTCCTGCGCAGCCCGGCGCCGCGGGGCGGGGAGGCACCGCCAGCAGCGAGGTGGCGGCCGAGGGGAAGCCCCGCCGCAGCCCGCACCGACACGAAGCGGGTGCCCGCCGGTCCGTCCCGTCCCGTCCCATCCCGTTCGGAGCGCAGCCCGGACACGGCCAGCCCGGCACGGCCAGCTCGGRCCGCCCCGCACTCCCCGCACACCCACCTGCCCGGGCAGCGGCCGCCGCCGTGTCCCGCGCCGCCCCAGCCAGCGCGGCGGCGCTGGCGCCAGCGGGGAGCGCTCCCTCGGCCGCCACCGGCACCGGCCGCTGYGCTCCGCCGGGGTTACCAAGGCGATGGCTTCGCCCTCGGGCCGGCACCGCCAACCCGGGCAAGGCTTTCGCTATCAAACCGCGGGTGGCGGCCAATGGCGCGGCGCGTCCCGCCCCTCCGGGCGCTCCCCTTCCCCAGGAGGGACGGAGTTGGCCGCGCCTCCGACCGGCTCTGCGGAGCTGGCGGCGAGGAGGGTGGGGGTCGGGGTTGCCCTGTCCCCTGCCCCGTCGCGGACCGGGCCGGGGAGCCCCTGGCGAGACCCCCCTTGGCGCTGCAGCAGCGCTCGGCGGCTGCCGGCCGTCCCCGCGGGCAGAGGCGCAGTTCCACTTTCCCCCTTGTCTGGCGCTCCCCGGACGCGTCTCGCACTCGTACGACCCGGAAAGCCGCTACCGCACCCCCGACCAGCCCTTCCCGCGGCCGGGCGCGGACGGCGGGCAGGGRCAGCCCCCGTGGACACGCTGGAAAAGCTCATCCTAGAGCAGCTTTCCAGAAGCGCCTTTTGGAAATCAGCAGGGAAGACCTCGTTATAGTAGCTTATTGCCTTGTCAATGATTTCCCTGTTACATCTCATTTCAAGAGTCTTGGTGCTGAGCTGTTAAGAATAATTACATGGAACTAGTACGTATAAAAGGAGGGGATTTTTTTAAGGCTTAAAACAAGAGAGCAAAAAACGGCAAGGTAAAATGTAACCGGTAATGAAACAACTTTTGCATCCCCACCCACTGAAATCAGCAGCAACATTCCTGCCGCCTTTAATGAACACAGGGCGAGGCKTAGCACATCCTTGTCCACAAAGAGTATGATCATATTATGCATATTTTAACATCCCTATGCTAATAACCATGTTGTATCATTAYGCTTGTCTATTTTAGTCTGTTCATTTTTCCAGTTTTTCCAGTTTTCAAAATAGATGGATGGATTTACTTCCTCATCAACTTCACTTACCGATTCTCAAGGCACTAAAAGTCCATTAAATTTGGATTAGAAAATACCTAGGAGCTGCTTTGTTGTTTTTTTCCCAAACAAACCAACCAACCAACCAACTAACCAACCACAACACGGATTAGCTGGAAATCTATGGGAAGGACAATGATCTCCCCTATTACTTCAGCAAATGGGATTTTTGCATGAATAGTGATCATGCAATGCTACCTCTAGGCAAATCTCAGTGGAATGGCAGAAGTTAATGAGAAATCCTGCCTACCGTGTGTCAGTTGCCTTCTCAGCCTGTCTGTTGTGTGTATCAATTAACAGCTCCCCTTCCTGCTTTTAACAAGTTCATTCAGTCTGCTCAGTACCACACGCGTTGCTCCTGAATTTCGTGCTCCTTCTTCACACCACAGAATGTGGTAACTTCACTTCCCTTCTTCCTGGAAAACAAAAAAAAAAAAAAGCCAGAAGATTTCAAATGAAACTGGTTTATCCGGCAAATATACAGCTCATACAAATGGATCATGTTCTACATGACAAAGTTTAGTTCAGCATGTGGTGCCATTTGTTTCTTCTGTTTAAAGTTTACATTGCTTTTGAAATATGTTTCTGAAGAAATAAGTTATTAATGAAACCCAGTAGTGCAAAAAGTCCCAGATATGCAGTTTTTCACATCATTCTGATACTTGTGGTTTCGACATTAAATATTCCAGATAGTCTTGGCTTAGATACTGAAACCTTGGCTCAGTAGTTGGCCTCACTGATGACAAATGGGTTTGTGACTGGAAAGGCTTGATAATGKTTTGAAAAAAGAGCTATTTACTCGGGATCTTGTGACATTAGGTGGTTGTTTTACAGGATCCAGTGCAGTTTTTGCAAACATTAAGCCAAATATGATGTGAGTGACTTACTAGACTGAGCAGAGGGCTGCAATCCAGAGGCTTAAAAATCTGTTTACTGTACTGCCATCTTTTCATTTGAATAATGATGCCTTGAAGTGTCTATCATGCATTAAGCCCCAAGCACTTTAAAACTGTCTTGTATAGAYATCTTCTATGTCTGTGAATAGACTTCAATGAAACCTGACCACACCGAGTTTTTCTATAGGGTTGTAATCCCTGATTTAAAATTTCCTTTCGTTTTTCTGTTTTATGCCTCCAAATACAATATTAGTATTTAGCAGGGGGAATAAAGAGATCTCAATCAGTAGTTATTAACATATTTGAAATTATAGTCGATCAACATGCATGATATTGATGTTGTTGTCACACATGGAGTTGTTACAGACAGCGTGTGCGATATGGATAAGGAGCTTGCCTTGAAACACCTTTACAAAACGTTTTTATATCCTATGCAGCATGGGAAAAAAAACCCCAGACTTTGAATATAATTTTAATTTTCAATTTCCTTATCTTTAGATTCCCTTCCCACTCCCCTTCACAAAACAACAAATGTTCTATTATTCTGCCCCCCAGGCTATTGTTACATGTSTTCTCAGTATAACAAAAGGGTTTTGTCTAAAAAGGCTGTATCTGAGTCATGTCTTTGCATGTGAAACAGCTGTACACCTAGGGCACATTCTTCGCTGCTTAAAAATGTGTCATTTTCAGTATTTTGGGTTTACACTGTTTGAATCCTGTGTCACAGCAGTGATCAGTAGAAAGGAAATAAATTGTCTCTGTATCTGCAAACATCACAGAACCGTGGCAGCAGACACAGAAGGATTAAAAAAAGGCAAGTGGAAATGCCATGTTAAGGATGTCTGGCAAGCAGAAAAAGCCATTCTGAAAAAAAATGAAGTTACTAAATCTGAAGGACAATGATCCAGAAAACAGCAAAATACTGGGCAGGAGATGCTTGGAAAGGTCTCATTAGAAAATTTAAACACTTACAGCAACTTGCTACTGTCTGATACTGTGATACAATGGCAACATCTACAAACCAAATGAGCTCCGGGGAGTTAATGCACAGGAATGTTTTGTGGTGAATACAGAATGACATGAGAATCTCTCATCAGTAATTCTTTTCTTTAAAAAAAAAAAAAAGTTAGATTCAAAACCGTGTGAGCAATAGTAGAGAGAATAATAGTCACTTTACACTGCATGGTCATCCCTTTGTCAGCTTGCTGCCTACTGCTATCCAAATAAAAGGCTTTAAAACATCTTGTGTATGACAAATAGTATGTCACTCTCCTCAGCAGTCACTAAAGGAAAGCCAGTTTGCTTTATAACATTCAAAAAATAGCTTATGTGTTAACAAACCTTTCATCTTCCCCTTCATCTACACTAGAAAAAATATGTCCCCTCTTGCCTAAAGTAGCACGTTGTTACTGTTTGAAAGACAGAATCATTAGTCATCGAAATTTAACAAGTGTTAATGAACAAGTGAATAATTTTAGTTGTGACTATTTCAAATCACTTGTTTAGTAAAATAAATCACAAGAATCAGGYTTAACTGTCAAAATCTATATTTAACCTCATGTAGGGGAAATACTAAGAGATTCCCAATTACATGCCCTGGGTTAAAGCACTGCAGCACATATAAATGAGATGACAGAGAAGAAAAGGTATGTGGGTAACCTGGCCCTGTAACAGCCTCAGCTGRTAAATAAAAGTTGGCCTGCTGGCCTGGACCTCCCCATCTCTGCAGTTGTCAGACAGCCCAGCCTGTGACATCCAAGCYGGCCACTGCCACCCGGGCCTCTCAGGGTGCATCAGGAAGTGCTAATGGCACAGGGAAGGACTCGGTGTGACATGCCACCTCAATGCTGTGAGCAGGACATTGCCCCAGAGGGGCTCTGGACGGTACTTTGGTCTCTGTGCCTGTGCTTGCAGCAGCAAGGGTGTCTATAATCAGCCTCTCTTTGTGTCWCTTGCTGACTCCGGTGCAGGGGGAGGCAGCAGCAGATAATGGACTGAGTGACATTCAGAACCAGACTGCAAATGCACATGTCAGACAAAACGGATGCTGAGTTTGCCTAATGAAGCAACAGCCTGCAGCAAGAACAAGCAGCTTTTAACAACGCTTTGCTAAACCAAGTAATTTAACATGAGTAAAATTCAGGAGAAAAGTTCTCTGGGAACTTACAGCATACATACAGGAGCYAGAGAGGCAAACCCCACTGAGAGCTGCACAGCCCCTCCAAGAGCCAGCAGCACTGATACCGAAATAGGCACCACCTTGGCATGTCACTGTTTTGTTCTCCCTACTGAATTCCATGTCTGAAGGCTGTCATTTTAAAATTTTAAGCCTAACTTAAATGACACAAAGCCACTTGAGGGCCTCTTCCTCAAGCTCCCTGACCTCCCTGGCTGTTGTAGCACACCAGAATCACCAGCATGTCAGCTGATGCAYCCAGCAGGGCAGACACAGCCCTGCTGTGAACTGGTGGGCTCAACCTTCCTCTTTTCCCTGCACTGGGTTCCCTGCTCTTTTCCCTTCCTCTGGGTGAGCCAGAGTGCAGCAGCGGGTCCAAGCTGGAGGGAGGCCTTACCCCACCAAAGCTCTCCTTCTGGAGCAACGGCTGTGATCCCATCAAGCATAACTGCTTCCCTTGGGCTCTCTAAACCTGGGCCCTGGGCTGGGGCACTGGAAAGGAGAATCCCGCTGCACTGAGGCTGCAGCTGAGCCAGGACGAGTTGGAAGCTGGACTCCCCTAYCATGTAAATCCACAGCCAGAAGGCACATTGATGTATTGCTTCAAAAACACAGAAACTCCATGGGCAGGAGCTCTTAGACTGACACTTTTCAATGGCAACATTTTGATCAATTTATGCAAATTCGATTGTAATAAAGAAGCAAGTTTTTAATAACACTAATCTTTAGAGAAACGGACTGAAAATRTTTATAGTCACTAATTCCATACTATAGCCAATGTATATTTTTCTGCATCTGTTCTGGTTTCTGGGTATGGTCACATTTTATGAGACAGCTTTTTCATGGCGTATGTGGACCTCCATCTGTATCAGAGAGTGAAGATTAAAACAAACTACTCACGATAGGAAGGAAGGAGGAAGAGTAAGGTCTTTACAACAATCAACACCCTCCTGAACAGGCCAACTGACATTCCTGCTACATTGTCTCTTTATATACAAATAACTCTACATAGTCTTTCATTTTTCCAGTTTGCTAACACAGACTTTGTAAAAATAGTTACATCATGACAAAACAAATTCATTCATCCAAAAAGCCAATAACTAACGGAATAGGACTTATGTCCACACGTAACCTCACATCCCACACAGGCAAGTCTGTCACCAGCTCTCATTTCCTCTGCCTACTTTATGGGTCTGAACTCATAACCAATATTAACATTTTGTTAACATAACTGGATTGTTAGAATTGCCAGTTTTTAGATGAGGCACCGAGTTCCCTTGTGTTCTTTCTACTGACTTTTCTAATCAAATACAAAGATCCCATGACACATTTTGACAAAAAGTAGGGCACAGCCAGCTTATTTATTCTTTTACTAAAAATAGGCTTCAGTGTCCAGCAGGTTGTAATGYGTGAGACAGCACTTCAAGTGTAACAGCTGCTCTACCTGCCTCGATACATCTGTGCTACCACCCTCTCTTTGCATTTGGCTAATTATCAAAATCAAACATCAGGCTTCACAATGACTTTAGTAGTTTCCTTTTGCTAAAATGCTTACTACGATTAGGCTATTCAACAATTGGAAATGCAATAAAATACCTTCTCAYCCTTACAGGAGGAGTTTCTGACACCCTTCCAAGCACGGCACAGCATGTTTTACATCTCTTGGGTTAATGGCATATTACTATTCTCAGCCAGAGGCAAAGACTAGAAAGAGATTCATTACAGGAAATCCGTCTCTCTCTCAGCTTCTTTGCATATTTATTTTCTAGCTGGCCTTTTTGTTGAGGCAWTTCTGATAACAGAGCAGATGTGACAACTGTGGAAACGAATAATGATCAGGGATACTATTGAGCCTGTCACACTTTTTAATGACTGTGGATATGAAATACACTGTATTATTTCAGAATTTCACCTTGAGGAGACTTTCAACTGATGCTTTGTCAAGTTTGCTTAGAGAAGTTCATTGTCCAACCACAATGGTGTAAGTCACGGTTAGCRAGATCTATTTTGTCACTACTGCCACTGGAGAGAAAACAGTCTTTGTCCCTCAAAGCACACTGATGTTGTTACACTTTGGGTCAAACACACTTACTGACCTGCAGTGCACGCAGGACATCACCTCAGATTTTGGCCATGTGACATTTGCAAACCATGAAAGATGTGGTTAAACCCAAATCTTTATCTCACATGAGTTACACATGATGTGCAAACCAAAGAAAGAGATAAAAGCAAATGTGACATATTGCTGCTACCATAAGCCACAGGTACTGCAGTGACATTACAGTAGCCCATTGAAAACATGATCACAATAATTTCATTGCTTATYACACACCACATAGCAGGTATAGACCACACAACCAAAAAAGTTGTGAAATTTTAAAAATCAGTAAGCAGAAGAAAAAGGATGAATACTATATGCATCATCATTCCTTGAAAAATATCAGTTCTAAATACAAATGAACTATTATTTTGAATCTCTATTTAAAGTCTCAGATTTGAACTTCTTCCGTCTGGTGATTGTGTTGTACTACTGATGAGTTTCTATTTTTAAAAGGACTACCAAAAATACATACAACTATCAGATAGGCATCCAAAAGGCATTTACAGATGTCTTATTAAGGATGCTTCAAGTCTAATACTAACAAATGTACAACTAATTTCAATGTTTATTTTTCTATAAGACTGTCCTGCACTAAACCAGTGCAAAGAGAGTCATGAGCACACACTGAAATTGGTGAGAAGAAATGCTCTGCCACAGCAGACAGAAACACTTTCATCTCACAGTTCTACTAAACTTCCAATAATCCAGAGCCATGAATCTGACTCTCAGAAAAAAGTTGCACTCTGTCACATTTCAGAGCAGCACCCACCAAAGGTTATTAAGGGGCACTGCACAACCAATGCAGGAGAGATTCCTGGAATACTCCTAAAATGCCAGTACATTTTTTGAAGCATTACTGTGACAGCCTTTTGTTGCTAGACAATCCAGTCATCCAGAACCAGGAARACTCATTTTATTACTAGGAATTATATTTTAGACAGCTTCTTCGAGCTACATATGCATCATCTTAATTTTTAGTCCACAAGAACTAACATTACTAGTCTGGCTAGATGCCATCATTAAAAAAAAAAATACAAATTGTTGCAGTGTAAGAGCATATCAGTATTCCTTCCAAAACTAGGAATTKGGCCTGCCGTACTATTTTGGAAACTCTGGGCTCTATGCTAAATCAGTACCCTGATTTAGCATAGAGAATTTTTTTACAAAGTTTCCAGGTATTGATTAAACAAACAAAAAACAGTGTGTTTCACCCACTCTGCCTGGCAGTCTATCACAACAAGTTGAAAGTTTCATTTCTATGACTCACATGTCTTTAGATTAAACAACTATGCAAATGATGCCAAGTCTTTGTTTATCACAGCTTTGTCAGCAAAACAAAATCATTCAGCAGGTGAATCATGAAATTACTGTCTGTGTGGATGAAGGAAGCAGAGATGCCAGCTTAACTTCACACTTCCCAATCTATTTCTCCTTCCCATCTCCTTCACTGCATTACTGCAGTTCTGCTTGTATGAGTAGAGCCTTTTCCTCAACACACAGCCCATTTGGCAGCAGTTCAGAAAGTCCTTTAGACACATCAGGAAAACTGAA